CAAACAAGTTGATGAAACAAGAATATCAGGAGTCTCGTTCAAAGTCACAATTTCGTAAATTATATGGCCGATACAATGACCTTTTCGCAAAGACAATTTATTATTGAGTGAAATACTAATTGTCAGCCATTATTTATACACTGAATTGACGACTGATTTTCCTTAATTTCTGATTATGACAAGGAGCACACGGCGGATGTGACCGTTCGGCAGGGGATGCTCACTTCTCCATGGCAACTGATCCCACCTCTAATGTTTTGGTGTTCCGTGTTTCCTCTGCTCCTATTTTGTATTGTTTTATGGACTTTTGATCTTGAATACTGATTGTTATCTCCCTATGTTTGATGCAAACATTAACCAGAATTAGAATTCGGATGACAGATCGGACATGAATATTTGGAAAAATTTCTTTTGGGTGAAAAGTTAATTTGAGTTTTCAAAACTGCATGTGTAATTTCAACGTTGAAATTTTTAAAGGGGGGGGGGAGTAAATTGTTCAATAGCAAGGTTTAAGTAATGTTAAATTATTTAAACAGGCACGTGGTATCAAGGAGACAGGTCTGCCCCCTGCCCCCATTTTTTCCAAGCATGATTTAGATCGAAAATGTTCATTCAAAGACCGGTGGTTTCATTTCTTGATTTTTTTTTCAGTTAACCTACTCGACCCCTCCCCCCCCCCCCCCCAAAAAAAAATTACTACACAAACAAACACACTTTTTGAAAACGATATACCGGCCCCGTTAAGACAATACATGCGTACAAAGATTATGATTTGAATCAAAACTATTTATGAATCCTATAAGAGATGCATGATTTTATTATAGATATTTAAGGAAAACTTTTCATTTAGCACAGTCTAAAAGGGAAGAATTCGTTGATATTAATATTCCGGCAGTTGACCTTGTTTCGGACTAATGGGTGTGTTTTTATTTTTTATCATTTTACTGTTGTGAGCTTGTTTTGAAAAAAATCTTAAAAATAGATTAATTCGATACCCGGAATATTTTGATGTCCACCCTTTGTATCCAGTCGGTATCTACATCCTTATATTTCACTAACAATTTACATTTCTTTATAAAAAAGCAAATATTTTCTTGACAACGGGAAAGAATTTAATTTAAGTACGCGGACATAAAAAATGGGAAGAGACGAACATTTACATATGTATATGAAATGTTGTTAAGAACACCAGATACTTTTTAATAAATAGCTCGCCTCAGTCAAGAAGGCTTTCCGTTAAAATTTTGCTTATTCTTCTTCCTCTTTCGGGGGGAATCAGTACAAAGTCACACAACACACTTCTCCGAAGGCCCCCATGGTAAAAGACAGAAATATTACCAAAATACAACTGATCAAGTCTTATATTGAACTTAGTGCACCAACACAACATAAATTTTTAAAATTTCAATTTTTAAAATATGTTTAGCCCCTTGGCACTTCTATGTGTATATCTAGCAACAGCCCCCCCCCCCTCCCCCGCTATCCAAAGGGATTTGAACTTTCAAACTAAATTTTAACTTTCCAGTAAAACTATAAAAATGTTAAAATTGACTTCGATAATTCGGTAACTGAAAAGCCTGAAAAGAGTTTTACACCAGGGTCCATCTTTGCTAGCCAAAGGTTTCTGATACACTACTCTCAGGCTTATGAGGAGAGTAGCGTATCAGAAACCCTTGGCTAACGAAGATGATCAAGGTCAAAAAGCAAAGTTATCTTAAAACTCTGAAAGTCTTGTAGCTATCAATTAACTTTATTTCACCATTTACGATTATCCCTCTTGCCTCTAAAATGAAAAAAAACCTCCCAAAGGATCTACTGCCAAAAAGCAAAAGCTCTATAGATTCTCAAGCTGTCAATTAAGTGTCATAAATACAGGGACGTGGCAACAGGGGGGGGGGGAGCCGCTGCCCCACCCCACCCCCCACCCCCACTTTATTCCCCAACCTTACTTATGCTATATATATAAAATGTTAATTGAAACTCTGGTTGGCCCCCCACTTTTAGTGATGTACCGAAAATGTATAAAAATTGGTGATGAAACCCCCCCCCCCCCCCCCACCCCCCCCCCCCCCCCACACACACACACACGAAATAGCATTTTCAACTTTGGGCCACCTTTCCCTTTTTTCTTTTTTTTTTTTGCTTGTCAACTTTTTCAGATAAGTTTAAAAAAAATTTTCTCTGGCTGCCCCCCCCCCCCCCACTTTCAAAAACGATGCTACGTGCCTGAAATATATGCATTTTAAAATGCCATAAGATGAAGGCCATTGAGTTTCATATTCTTTACATGTATACTAGGAAACAAAATGCATACATATAGTGGCTTTATCACGAAGTTGCAAAAAAAGGTAAGCTAATCAAGTGCCAATTTTTATATTTTACAATTTATTTCTCTTGCCCCAGATTGTTTGGTAATCCTGACTTAGGGCCACAAATAGGGCTGGGCAAAAATATCGATATTTCGGTTTATAATATTGCAATACAGCCCATAAATATAAAGATAGCAAACAGTATAATGAAGCTCAAAAACATATTGGGAGCACAGCAAACACGGACCTCTATCACATCAGAGGTGTGATCAGGTGCTATGGAGATCTAAGCATCCCTTGTCAACTATAGACACCCGCTGTGTGCTCCTTGGCATGCTCTGGCAAACAGAAAATTCCTTAAACTATTCAGTTTGGAAATAATGATATAACAATTTGTCTGAAAATTCAGTCAACATTCCACTCAATGATAGATAACTTTTACCTACAAGGTCTAATGTATCTATCATAGAATAAGCAAAAGATGACTTTTAACGAGACTGTTGATTTCCGTATTTCATCAACTTATTTGTCAATAGCTTGTGTCGTTTTACAAATTCAACTTAGATACATGAACGATGATGGCATGCATATATTTAAACAACAAAATGGTTTCTTTGATAGTACAGGAATTAATGTTGCAGCTTTTGTAGAAAAAAATACATGACCCGTATAAGCGTTTTATGAGATTTTTACTGCGATAGCTGCGACGTTAATTCCCGTATAAGAAACAAAGAAAAACATTTTATTGTTTATATATTAACCTATGTATGAAAACAACATTCAAGGTAAAATTAAATATTGCATTATAGACGTATATGTCATTTTATGCACATGAAACAACCATTGTTCAAGAAACCTATGCACATGGCTTGCTCAGTGTCGTTCATAGACTGATTAACGGCAATGGTCTTCATAAGAAATAAGGGATATAATATTCAGTGAATATAAATATTGATGGAATAGCCAGAAATCTGTAGAGGATATATGCCTGATATTGTTCATGAACTGATAAACAGCAAAGGTTTTCCTATGAAATAAAGGAGAAATGTTCAGTGGATGTAAATATTTTGGAATAAATTTTGTTAAACATGAATGCAGATATAGATCTGCTTTTGATGAAGCCCAGGTAGTACCTATGAGAATTCCGACAGATTTTTGAAGGGCTTGTTCTTCTAAAACTACACACAGATATATTTTCGTGTTTGGTCTGTCACCTGGCTTAATCCTCAATGGAAATCATGTAAGTGAAAATTTGACGCAAGTTGTCTTAATTTTAGTCTTTTAATATATTTATTTCATTTAATGTAAGTGAAATTTTGACGGAAGTTGTCTTGATTTTGGCCATTTATTATATATACTATTCTTATTTCGAAAGTCGATGCCATTGTCGCTTCATTCCCATTTTAAAAGCAGATACGTGCACATTTACACAATCGACATTGGAACCAACAAAATAATTAAATGGTCATGACCTTGTTACATATGCATGTCAGCGCCAAAGAGAACAAAGAATGTGTAAAATAATGAAGGCAATTTTCTAGAAAAATGAAGGATATTTTTATGCTATTTTACGAGGAAAAAAATAAAACAGCCTTAAAGAAATCTCTCCATTGTCATCCCCCTTTCCAATTCGTCTCCGCTACCACCCAAACCATTTGTTATCTCCTATAAAAAAAATTAGAAGAGAAAAAGTCCGCGATTGTATGTGTGTGTTTGTTTGTGGATGTGTTATGTACTGTGCGAAACGGAAGTGAATTTTCATCTGGATTGATGTCGAATGCTGCCTTGATTTATAGATATACTCTCTGCTAGGGGTGCTCCGCCTTCTCGTAAGACAAGCCAAAAACAATTAACCTTTTCGACCTACATTTCAAGTATTGCTTTGGATTGAACATTTTCTTTTGTAATCTCTAATTACAAAGGGATTAATCCCTCTCCCATTTTTTTTTCAACATGAACACATTTCAAGTATTCTCCGCAGCTGCATCTTATCAAAATTCTCAGTTATACTTGGGCTTTCAGTAAGGCGTTGTATTCTCGACGTTACATAATTAGCGTCTGAAATTTGCACAGCCTTTCGTTCATTGTTGAAATTTACATGGGATAGAAATTCGGGCGGATGTCAACGAGTGTAGCAAGGATCCATTGATAGCGTTTCTTGTGGCAAAGAGGTGGGGCTTAAATCGTGTCATCGTGGTCAACAATTTAAAGTTCCCGATGTTATTAATTTCTTAACCAATAAGAATTTATGTCGCCATTTGAGAGACGCTTATTACATAGCGTCCAGAATGCCACGCCTTACTAAAAGTCCAAGGATGACAGAGAATTGCACTATTATTAAATGACAGTCTTTACTACACACGCCTCCGTGAAGCTATCAAAGACTTCTCAATAGAAAATATGTAGATGTGTGTATACTGGAAAAAAAACTAAAAAAAGAACAAAGTGGAATAAAAGGACATACATGTATACTGAAATAAATGAACGGAATAAAGCAAAGTCTAGGTAACCCCCATAAAGTGGACATCACCTTGTGTAACAAACATGTACTGCAACTCCCAACTTTTCCTGGGATGTTTAAAACCAATTTCACACTATGCATTTATATTTTTCATAAATATATTTAAAAAAACCGCAATTTTATTCATTCTTACATATAGTTATTTATCTGATATTTCCACAAACAAATGCTTCATTGTGACACTTTTTATTTTATTCACTGGGTTTCATGAGGAAAAAATATAAATAAAAAAAACTTAACAAGTTAATAGTAGGATTTTTTTTTTACTTAAGAGCAGCTTTAATATCTAGCATTGACAAAATTATTAAAGAATGAGGACGGTTAGTGTTGCAATAGGCTGCATTAAAAGTAAATATAATAAGAACAGGAAGCTGTTTTAGTCAGTGTTACCTGCAAGGCAGTAACTATCACTCAAAATTTAAACTTCGTCAACAAAAATCAAATCATTGTTAACAAAATATAAATAAAAACTTAAAAACAAATAATAACCAGCAGATATAAAAGGATGAATAAATTGTTTTGCGCTGGACTTGACTCTGAGTGATTCCGAGCGCTCACATTTTAACGCATTAAAACATTCAGGAATCTTCTCCAGTCGGCATTTTGGAGTTGTCCCACCTGGAAAGGCTTCAACTGAGAGTTCTCTTGACCTTTTTGCACTGCGTTTTTGGACTTGTTTTCAATGTCATAAATATGACATAACGGAATACACAATCCTAATATCATAACAACACGTCATATTGCATTGAGATGAGAAAGTTCAGTCGGCAAATTACTAACTCCATTTCCAGAATGGTTGATATGGTGAAGAGACTGGTTTGCTAACATCATCTCCGATTGACTGACAGGCATTTCGTCCTCAAACTCACTCACACCCCGACACAGTTTACACGTTAATAGACGACGAAATGCCATCTTGAAAGACTTATTGAAATTATAGTACAAAAATGGATTTAACATAGAATTAAGATAGCCTAACCACAATGCAACAGTCCACGGCACATACTCTATCTTATAGCCTATGATAGGGTCTATGATGTTCATAATGAAAAATGGAAACCAGCACACACAGAAACAACCCATAATAATTCCTATGGTTTTGGCCGCTTTGGCTTCGTGCTTGAATTTACTATTCCTCCTTTTACAATGAACCGAAGCTTCCAGGCTGCGAATATGCTGTGCTTGTTTTCTTGCCGCAAGATAGATTTTCACATTGGAAATGATCAAAAACACGGCCGGAATGTAGAAAGCTATTGTGGAACATATGACAGCAAATGGTATATTAACGATAAGCTGGCACACAGAATCTCCTAAACAATATATGTAGTCCTCTATCCCTATATGGTTCCACTGCTTTAGAATTGGAATATAAGCTATTATCGCTGGAAGTATCCAACATGAGGCAACCATGCTTGCTACAATCTTATTGTTGAGTCTCTCGTGAAGGAATGGCCGACATATGGCTAAGTACCGATCGACGGCCAAACACGACAAATGCATGATAGAAGAGGTAGTAGACATGACATCAAAACAAGTGTAAATTGTACACACAGTCGGTCCTAAATTCCACTTGTTGTTATTAATTTGGAGGTACACGGCAAACGGCATTACCAAGATGGCCACCAGAGCGTCGGCCACTGACAGCGATACGACAAAGACGTTAGTGATGGTGCGCAGGCGTTGGTGGGTAAAGACGGCCACGATGACCAGCACATTGCCGATCAGAGTGAGCACCGGGAACAGAGACAGTAACAGTCCAATCAGAGTGCGGGTCTCCCTGATATAGTGGGGCGGCGGCCCGGCCTTGTCTGCTAACTCAGCGGTACAGTTAGGGATAAAAGAGTCGTTGGACATTCCGTCATCAACATCATTAGCTGGCCACAAACAGAAAATCCGAGTTCTTAGGTCTGGAGAAACTTGTGGTATAGGAAAATATCATGTGAAGTTATTTATATCAAGGAACTTAAATTCAATGAAGTCTCACAAAACAAACATACTTCATTTTCTTTTCACTTGAAAGCCAATGTATAATTTCAGTAGACCACTTTAGGTTCTTGATTCAATGCTTGGTACTTCACACAATGGAACCCGTCCCTTTTCTAAATGACATTATCATTAACCTAACTTTTCTTTTCAGTGGTATTTTTCTTCAGTTTCTCTCCAATATATGTTCACCGGTAACTGAACGATTCCATTAAGCTAAAATTATACCTCGCTTGTACTCCAATAGTTTGTTAGCGCTCCAGACCTAATGACTGAGCAGATTTTTATTAATATCGACTTAGTAATTGTTCCTCTAATTGGAAAAGCTTCCTGGCCAATTTTACGCCCGGGTTTACGGAGATTTTCCTTCCTCTGTGCCGACGGTCGTCTTACCTGGAATAGAAGGTAAAATCAACATTAATGGGGCAATAATGGTGGAAATAAGCGAACAAAACAAGTCAATATCGTGCGAAAAACTACATTCACAAACAATTAATGGATCTCCGAAGAGTCTCTAATCTACTGGAACTTGTTATTGACCACTACAGAGATCTACAAGATAAGCACTACTCCGAATCAATTCAAACCTCTGCGCCGCCACAGTTGTGGGAGTCTCCGAGTACCCAAACCTCTTGAGAAAATAATTTTAAATGTACACGGGTTTAAGGTGTACGTGATTTTTAAGACTGTACAACTAAGTGGGGCAGCAATTTAAACCTTTGCTGATTGTCGTTTTGTTATGTAAAATGTATGCTATGTGTTTTAAATATACAATGTAATTTTTCTAGAATGTTAAAACTATGCTGAAATCGGCTGTTTTAGAGGGAGTGGGTCTTAGATGATAACCTTGTCAAGACATGGGAGAAAAAACAAAGACGTTAAATTTAAATGATTTGATTCATTAAACAGAGAGATGAGATGATAAAGGTTCAAAGAACAGGGTCTCTTCATATACAGACAGCTCGGTCTGACACCGGCCTAAAACCAACATATCCCCACCGTTTGATCTATCTCGATGTCACACTTATCAGGATAAAGGGGAAAAAATTAACTTCTAAATGATCCCACTTGAAAGAATCACTTAACTGATTTCGTCATAAGGCAGCCTGTCACCTAGCTTTCCTGTAGAAAATTTCAATGCATCAAGAATCTGTGTCCTGAATGTAAGAATATAAAATACGCACTGCCTTCATTAGGAAAGTGAATAAAAAGCTTTTAAAGATCTCACAAGGAATTACTTAGAAATCACAGGTTTTGAGACTTCGTCACATCTGATACTTATAAATCTAGCGTCCTTGGAAACAGACGACACTGCGTGCATATGATTCAGTGCAGGTTTGGTGAATACATGTGCATTCGAAATCCTTGGCCTGACACACTGAACGGAGTGGAAATTGACAGTGATATCATAATTAAATGTCATTGTATATACAAGGTAATAGGGATTTTATTACCTGTCTGTATATATTGAACATTCTTGAATTCAAAAACGAATTCGAATAGAAAAGTTAAAGAGATTCGATCCCTATATTTAGGCCCTCGCTTTAATCTGATAATGGTTCGTTTTTCTAATTTAAATGTCGGTCAAAATCAGCAGGGTAGATGGCTCTATTTTTGAGATAATTAGCAAACACAAATTGGATATTCCATTACAAACACCGCGACAGGGTCTACTGGGGTGGAAAATATTTCCTAATGAAGAAGAAAACAGATATTTTTGTTTTCTAGTCCAATCCCTTGATCGTTACCGTGCCTTGTGCCCCTCCCTTAGTAATATACAATAGCTAAATATAGAAACTACGCCTGGGTCGTTAATTTGACTCGTTAAATCATGTCTAGTTGTTTGCATGTTGTTTGTGTATTTAATGATTTCCATTATGATGTTTCATAAAGGTTCATTGTTTGGCCCTCGTCACTTACCGGGTATTTAAAAACAGCTTAATTAGGAACGATAGATATAAATCGAACATGATAAATATTAGTTCTCCTTGTATTTAATGTGTATCACAAAGAGTTTAATATTCCTCCAGTATTTTACACTGTACAGAAGAACTGCCGAGCTTATCCTGTATAGAATCACTTAACATCTGCAGTGTACAGGTACAGAGACAGAGGGATGCCATGTAAAAGTCAGTGGACCCATATATCTGGATCCTCCATCTTCAGTCTACTCCGAACACGACACACCAGAATTCATAACAACGATATTGTAGTAGAACTTTACATAACTACACCGTCGGTGTAGATGTATCTGCCAAACATTCCATTAGCCTCAGTCGCTCTAAGAAAACACTATCTTAGTCCTGGCTCCTGTATATTTAGCCTGACAGCACCATACACAATACCAGTATTTCTATTAACACTCACAGAAGAGACAAAGTAAGCTGCATCATGTGTATTATTCAAGTCTATAGTAAAGTGTATTACCTTTGAGTACTTCCCCACCCCTCTATACATATTCCCCTAAATTAATACCACTTGCACCCAGAGGGACATGACATTTGCAAACAAATATCGTAGCATGCAGATTTTCGGCATCGACTTTACAAATCATTCAACTCAAGGCCTTAATTATAGTGGGAACAATACCATAACGTTTATATTTCTTTTTAGGTTTTAAATATATTTTGATGTAAGAATTATTTGAGTAAGCCCATGCTTCTTTAGACTAAATCAAGATGTGTTTGTAAAACACTGATGCCCCCTTACTTTTGGCGAAGGTTAGTTTCTCAAATGCATATCAGATTTCAAGATTAAGAGATCAAAAATCTTGTTACCCTAAGAAATGACTTGTCTCAATAAATATACCTGTGAAATATTAAAGCCCAAACACTAACTAATCAAAAGTTATGGTCAAGGTTGAAGTATTTTTAAAAGTAGGTCAAACTCCAATTTTAGGTTAAAATGGTAAAATTGTCTGACCCGAAGGAAGCCCTTGCCACAAGGAATGCTCCTGTGAAATGTGAAGACCCTGGTACTTACTGTTCAAAAGTAATGCCCGATGTTTAAGATTTGAAGAATTGAATCAAACTCGAGTTTCAAAAAAAAAAAAAAAAAAAATTCTTATCCATGGAAAGGTTTTGTGAATATACATTGTAAGTATGAAAGCCCTAGCACAAGCTGTTCAAAAGTTATGGATTAGTTAGAAGTTTGGTAAATTCTTGCAAAAGTGGGTCAAACTCCCAGGTCAAGTAGTCAAATATGGTGGTACCATAAGAAAAGCTTTGTCAAAAGAAATACAAATGTGAAATGTGAAAGCAAGAACTACCACATATCAAAAATTATGGGAAGGTTACACAGACATCTCTGTGGAGTTTTAGGATCTACTACTAATAATTATTCTGTGTGCAGACTTCATTCGGATTATGATTCATAAAGAACCAGACTCAAAATCCAAGGCATAAGCAACTATATATGTTGTCTCTCACTGTGTTTTAGATACATACACATGCCAATAAAAAGCAATATATTTCTACCAGCAAGAAATTGGTATTCAATAATACGACATAACGTGTACTTTTGGGACCATTATTCTTCGCATCAAGAACTGAAAAAAATAACACGTAAGAAATGGGTCAATTGCTAGACTTTGTTTCATAACCGCTCCTAAATCGAGAATCTATAGCCAACTTACCACCTGTTTGCGAGTTCTGATATTTTGCACATTTAGAAATTCTGCCAACAATGTTGATAACTATAAGAAAATTTTCTTCCTTACAATCCATGGGATTTTTTAAAGTGCCTCTTTCAAGTATGGACCCCCAACAGAGTATGTTATGAATTAGAAGTGAATTTACTCTCAGCACTCTACAAGGCATTATCACCTAATTATCATTGACCATCAGCAAATACTGGACAGAGGGTATACCGGGAATGATGTAGCAAAACACATGGTGCTACTATTGTACAGAAAGCTAGGGATTCCACGTGGTGATAAATCACGGCTTGATATCGCAGTTAACGATGATGAGAATCTAACAACGTAATGAGGGGTAATAACCCGAGGTGATACGAGGGAACGCGTCCTTGGCGACGTGACGTTATCAATAAGAATTAGAATTGCAATATAAAGAATAAATTACTAACAAATGACTCATATTATAAGAACATCAAACTCTTACAGGGCCTTTTTGTTTATCAATACATAAAACATTGATGACTTGTAGTATATGTAAACCTTTTAAGTTTTAGTTCTAAAAATTCTTTTTAAATTTATCGATTGGTTTGTATACCAATGACATGATGAAAGACTATAATAACAATCATGTTTTTAATTAAAATATTTCATCCTGGTCGATTTTAATATAATCAATATTCATTGTAAAAAGAGGTAGAATGAGCTAAATACAAAAAACCCCTATAATTTTACACAATCGACAACAAAAGTTGCCACACTGAGGCACATGTGCCAAGTACTCGTTATAGCTGCAGTTAACGCCTCTATTCTCCCGACAAACAGCGCCAAGTCTATAGTATCTCGCCGTTAACGAGTGAATGACCAAAGGAGCAGGTCTCCTGTCTGGACGGGGGAACCAGACCCTCCTCGATCAGTGAGCTGTAGTGACGGGTCAGCGGACGGGGTACTACTTCAGTGGGCTAGGGGCATGTGTCCATAAAGATCTCATAAAATATCATCATGCATTACAAGACATTACAAGAATAAATAACTCAAGAAGATTACATCTACTTCTGAAAGGAAACTTTTTGACATGATTCGCTGTGCACATTTGGCTTATAAAAGTGAAGATAAGAGCAGTAATATGCTATTCTCAGTACTTGAACTGGTGCTTCGGTCGTACATCAGCGTGAATGATAGACTTATCTCTAAAGTCATCTCTAACATAGTTATTAGGGATCACTTGAACGAATATATAACACTTTATTTAATCTGAATATAAACCCGATTACTAAGACGAGTATAGTACATTGATGTGTCGATCTCTTCATCTTACAATATTATGTCGATTTTGTGTTGCTGTTAAGTTCGGTAGATACGATTTACATTAGATACTGTGTATTAGATTCTCCTACCATGCAATCTTTAGATCAATGTAGTTAAATCTTGGCACATCTCTCAGTCTGCTTCAAAGACTTACTTTTCCCGTATTTCTATAGTTGAACATTAGTTATACAGTGTAACAATTTCTCTTCATAGGGAACAGTCACATATTTCCTATTTTAGCGTACAACTGCTATCCTAAGAGTAAATCAGATTACCAAAGTACAGGTAGAAAAAAAATGTACCAGAGTACATGCACGTACTCATCAAATGAAAAGAAAATCTGAGAAGGGACATTAACCTTCCAAAGAAGATCACCTGACGCCGCAGGCAAACTCATCCTCATGACATCAACAGAGAAACCTTAAAACATGAAATATAAACAATATTTGTT